TAATCCAAGGGATAACTTGGGGATGGTTCCAAAAAGTTTAATAGAGAATTTGCAGGTGTCTGAAATATTGTAAATTTCATCTTTAAAATGATACTGTTAGGAAAACTGAGTACGAGGATATTCTTGATTTCTAAATTGGACAATTATTGGAGGAAATATGACAAAATAACCTAATCTGCTAAAATACATGTGTTCAAATGGAAGAATTTTGCTTACAAATCAAATTTTCTTAAAAATGTGTGTAGATTTCTCTTTACACTGAAAAAAATAATATGCTGTTTTAGCAACTAGGATGTCAAAAATGTGTCTGGTGATCCCAAGATGCTGCCTTTACTGCCCCCGCAGTCGACTTTCCATCCTGTGAATGCAAATTCAATTGCGTGGGCAATAGGTGCTGCTTTCAATAGGTGCTGAAACAGCAAATCCTTTTTTTCAGTAATTGTTTTGCAGAAGTTCTTTCACTCTTCAATTTACAAAATCTAAAAATTTTGAAGGAAAATATCCGCAATTCCCCCAAAAATATATCTTTTTGGACGAAAGTTGGCAACATGCGGAAATTCACAGGTTTGGTAGTTTCACCATCAATATGTGGGATGCAAGACGGGATTTTTTTCGAGGGACCCCTTTCGAGAAACACGGCTTTGCGATGATTTGGCAGAGCGAACCTATTAGCACGCACTCAGCTCTCCGGTACTGCAATCGGATGCTTAAAAATCAAATTTTCTTGAGAATTTATGTAGATTTATCTTTAATTGGATTACATTTTGCAATAAGGAACCACTATCTCTGGCTCTTCCATAGAAGCACGTATCTGCATAGGGAAATCAATGGGATATATGTTGTTTCTAAAATGAGCCAGAAATAGTGGTTCCTTATTGCAAAATGTAATGCAATTGTTTTGCAGAAGTTCTTTTACTCTTCAATTTACAAAATCTAAAAATTTTGAAGGAAAATATCCGCGATTCCCTCAAAAATACATCTTTATGGACGAAAGTTGGCAACACGCGGAAATTCACAGGTTTGGTGGTTTCACCATCGATATGTGGAATGCAAGACGGGATTTTTTTCGAGGGATCCCTTACGAGAAAGACGGCTTTATCGCGATGATTTGGCAGAGTGAGCCTATTAGCATGCACTCAGCTCTCCGGTACCGCAATCGGCACGCTCCTAAAAATATCGTAATGGACTGGATGACTAACATTTCCTCCATCCTCCATCAGCGCTGCAATCTCCGCGGTGGAATTTAAACTATCAGATTTCCACAACTCCCAGCGAGAGCGGAAACGCGGAAGAAAATGAGTCGGATGGAGTTGCCAATTCGAGCGCGAATGTTGAAACTCCCGAGAAAAGGCATAAAATTTTATTTTCATTTTATAAATCTCTTGAGCCACGGCGGGCGGTCGCGGCGTGTTCACGTTTGAAAGCGCGATTTAGCGTTAATGACACGCTAACGCTTGCCGCAGGTTCCACCTCCAGGCGCGAATTCAATGAGGCACTGAATTTGATTACGATACCGCGGCCTCGGATTTCATTAGTTTTAATTAAATCATAATTAACTTTTAACTCTGCTTTTTGAATGGCATACTCGGGAACTCTGAATGGGCAGATCTAATTGAGCTAAAGCGACGTTACTAGAGGAATCCTTTGCGAGAAATCTCTAGTCTTGACAACGATCCAAGCGAAGTGATACAAACGTAAAATTAAGCCCCCTCAGAGGGCATTCAGCGTGTGTTTGCAGCGTGAATGAACGATAATGACTTAACGCACATGGAGAAAAAAAAAGAGGTGTTTGCATTTCGGGCATCTTGGATGACGTAGGTCGGTACAACGAGTTTATCATCGATTTTCTTGGAAATGGTGTAATTTATGGAAAAAAGCCATTCTATAAAAAGTGCTTAGAATTATATCACGAGTTGATTTAAGCCAAAAAAAATCGGACATTATTGTCCGTTTTTCATACTTCGAATTCTGGATTTCACTGGCCAGGTTGTATCGACCTACGTCGCAGGGTAAACAAACCTCAAGATGCAAACACCTCTTTTTTTCTGTATGCTTAACGCATGATGAAAATTAGATTTTCTTAATTTTTTCTTAAACTCTGTCCTGAGAAAGATTGAAAAGTTTTAAGTATTATTTACAGACCTAATTCCCTCTGAGGCTATGTCTTTTAAAACCGAGCAACATTCTGGCCTGATATTTTGTGAGTGCATTTGTTTTAATGTAGGAAAAATTTACTTGAACTTTGCAAAACATCATAATGTCTGGTTTATGGCCAGAAAAATGATCGTAAAACACGAGAGGAGCTTAGGCAATATGTAATGCAGTTAAGATGATTGTGGTTGAAGCTACTGTGTCATGAAATTAAGGTGAAAATCAGGTTTGAATATTTTGGTATTCTTAAAAGATAAAAATATAAACACCAGTTTATCAGTTATTTTTTTTATTTTTCTGCAAAATGCAGTTTTAATGAGTGAAAAACGCGTAAATGGTGAAAAAAATAAACATAAAATCTTGTTTCGTGTGAATTATAATTCTTATTGTCATTTCACGCTGTGATTCTAAAATCAAATAAAAATACGAAGTTGACAGAAGGAATGCAATTTAAGACGATCTTCAGAGAACAGACGAATTATTGCAAAGCAGACCTTTTTTTTATCAGCACGTTTAGCAGAAAGGAACCAAGCCACATCAGCTAGTGCCATATTTCACAGGGCAATTTACTTTTAACTTTTCTGTTGTTAACTTTTATCGGCCATACTTTATCAAATTTTGAAATTTTTGTAAAATTTTTTCTTACCGATTTCAATCAACAACAATTTTTAGAAAAATCGGTAAGAAAAAGTTTTACAAAAATTTCAATTTACTTTTGTTTACTAGAGACCGTTTGTGCGAATTCCTTTGAAAGTTTTAGGAAATTTGCTTCGTACTATGCTGAAAATTCACTGAAATTTGGACAAAAATCTGCACAACCGTTTTCATGTAAAAAATTGAATTGCCCCATTAAAATTGACGATAGCTAATTTTCCTTGGTTCTTTTTTGCTGAACGTGGTCCATTTAGTTGGTCATGAGGCAATCCCTCATAAAAAAAGTGAAGTAGTTCGCTTACTTTTAGAGAACCTACGATTTATGGGTCAAGACGATTGTCTCAGTTGAAACGTCAAGAAAATAAAGTGCCCTTTCACCGAGAAACCATCGAAAAAGAGTTAATTTTAGGCGGAGTTATTTTAAGTAAAAGCATCAGCGTAAGCGGCGTTATCATCGTCTTATCGATTGGATTAAAAGCGCGACGAATTAGACCCTCGGTTGTTAGCGTAGCACTTCCTCTCCGTTTTAAAGTATTTACGCCAATTTGAATACTCTCTCGGCGTTTCAAGGCTGTCAAAAACGGCGCCAGTGATACAATGCGAGTACATCACAGGTACAATACCTATCGCAACTCGATAACTCGAAAAGAATGCTATTCGTCTGATCTCCACGGGGAGGCTTGTAATGAATTGATATATATCGCAACCAACGTTTTGCATAGCTTATACTGCCATGCTAAGGAAAAACGCCGTATGAACCTTCAGACAATGTCAAATTTCCTTTGATAAATCATGCATTTTCCGAAAAATGTACTATTATTCTTCTTCTAATTTTTCAGATAGTTTTCTTCGCAATTTTACCTTAAAAGTTTCTGAAAATTTCTAGAAAAAATATTCATCACTTCCCACAAAAATAAACATTTTATCGAGGGAAATTTGGCAACCCTCCATAGTTCATAAGGTGTTTTTCCTTAGCACGGCAGTATACGTGATTGTCTGTATCGAGATACTCCGATTATCGTTTCGATATATCGAAATATGCGAGGCCGCGCGGAAGTCAGTGCTGCTAGCCGGAAGCAAGACGGATTGCTACTTCGCCTCTCGCGTTTTCATTAGAGAGTTTTTCATACTTTAGTGAAGAGCGTTTACACAGCTTCAATTTTTTCCTCCCTTTCCCTTTCAGGAGTTTTAATCTGCTCCTTTTTTCCTTTCTTCTTTCGTGACTCTTAAATGGGAAAAGGTTCCCGAACGCACCTCCCAACTTGGAGGCTCATAACTCATTCTGCAGTTAATTAATAATCCAAACGTATATGTCTGCAAAGAGCTAGATTGCAGACGCAGTTCAACTCGTCGCCCTCCTGGCAAAACGACGTGAGTACATGTCGCGATGAACCCTCTTGTTCCTATAACTCAATGCTTTGTCGGGCTCATCTCTAAGTGCTCTTACGCCCTTTCGTCAGCCAAGCGACAAAATAAAGGACCAGTACCTTGGAGAGCGTTCAAGTTTACGTAACACACCTTTTTTGTTTTGTTTTTTCATTTTATTGTTTTAATTATTTTTTATTTTTTCTTTCACGTGTCCGTTACGCAAACCTGGACCATTTTTCATCAACCATTAATCCTGGAGAGGACCCTGATTTTTTTATTATTTTTTTTGAAATTTTCACTTTTCTCCAAAAAAAATTCTCTGAAGTGAGAAACGCACTTAGATATGAAAGGGGCTTTTCTCGTACAAAAACAGGAAGTGCGAGATGTGGTCTGAGATCTTGAATAAAATGAGTGTACATCCTTAAATACACTCTCAAATGAGGTTTTGAAGAGCAACAAAATATGGACTAAATCATGGAAAAGACGCACCATGTCGCATTTTGGTAAAAAAAAGAGTTGAAAGTAGTTTTCAAAAGCGTATCATCGTACATTCTTTCTTGTTAAAATTCAAAGCCCAGAAAAAGTATTTCGAATATAAGAAAATTTGAGATTCAACAATAATAACGGTGAGGCTCATAGTGTCCTTTCTTTTAATACTTCTTGTTTTGCCGGTTGAAAATGCGGGTGTGATCCCTGCGAAACGTCCCGGGGTTCTTATTTTATTTTATGTGTTTCTTTTTATTATTTGTGGCCTTAGTCCCGTTTTGAGTTGTTTCTCTATGATGATAAAGTGGAGGAAGTATGAGTTTTTGAAATAAAGTGCTTACCGTTTCTGACTATCCTGTAAGGAGCCTCTGGCGAACCTGAGCAGCTGTATCGACTCGTGATGACCTCTCGCCTGGTTAATCCCTCGGGTGATGGATGGATGAACGGACACCATGAAAAGAACTCTTTAAAGCCATCCCTGAACCTGTAACAAACCATAAATTCACACACCTCAATCTCTTTTTATTCATCCGAATATCCATGAGCAATCCTTGGATCCCCTAAGTCATCGTTCGTCTCGACTTTTTATCTTCTTTTTCAAAAGGAAGATTTTCTTTTCTTTTTATAGACCTCGTCAAGGCCTACGCATTTCTAGTGTCAATCAATAAGCTGACGATGACACGGAGATCCAATGGACCACTAGACAAGGTACGAATTTCAGCATTCTGATACATGCATCTTAACCAAAGTTTCACGTAAAACCATAGAGTACATAGAGTCGTAATGTAAATGGGAGAGCTGGCGCCATGTTCTGCTCGACGACTTCCGAGCCCGGTGTGCGCCGAGTTCGGGTCGCTTTTTCGATACATTTTCGATCCAAAATGGCGGTGTGGAATACGTGGCAATTCCTATCTCCTTTGTTGTTGTTGTTGTTGTTGTTGTTGTTGTTGTCATCGGATGGCCGGGTACCCGTGTATCGCAAACAATCGATTATGTATCGAAAAAGTGACCCGGCGTCACACACGAGTCTAGGAATTTGGGACATGGAAAATGCTTAAAAGTGGCGGCACCTCTCCCAATTACATTACGACTCTATGTACTCTATGCGTAAAACACGATGCGCATAACGAAAATTATCGAAATCAACTCCTTACGAAGATATTTAATGATTCTTGATGCGTGAATTCAAACCACCCGCTCATGAAAACTATCAATGCTCTCCGTGATTCACATCGCGCGCTAAACGTTATCATGACAGTCTCTGCGATATAAAAATCCGGCAACCCCAATCTTTACGCTTTGGCTCAGCTATAGCAAATTGCTAATAGTTTGAACGACACATGGGGAAATGGACATTACTCGATTGAGAAGCTTGCTGAAACCGTTGTAGTGCGCGATTTGACTCATGTAGAGCTTTGAGTTTCTTGTGAGCGGGCAGGTCAAATTCCTCGTAGCCAATGTGAAATAAAAACGTCAATATCGCCGTTCGAAGTTGGTTTCAGTAATTTCAGTTGCTCGAATCGTGTTCTACTTGAAATTCTGATAAAGGAACATGTAACAGAATCCGCAAATTCGTACCTTGTCTAGTGGTCCATTCTTTTATAGTCGTACTTACTATGTTACCTTAGTGGTATTAACACATCTTTCAGCAACTTCTCGGTCAAATCTGTGGCCCTAGTTGGGTTTCGATCCAATGAGCAACTAAACTAACTTCATGGCACTGCGTAGAGTATCACACTGAATTGAAGGCGCTTCAAAGTGCGACTTGTCAAGCTATCTGTTCAGCATTCTGGAACAGCGACTATGGTATCGTATCGTGGCCACTTAATTAGTTCGCTGAGCTAATCTGTAGTCTTACTTTTAGATCTTATGAATTAGCATCAGGTTTCTAGAATTCAAACAAGTAGTGGCTGATCGAATAGAAGCACAAATCAGATATTACGCAACGGAGAAAAAAGTTTGCCCTTCAATTTTTCCCGATCGTAGTTTTAGTTGCGCAGGCAAGATGAACATCAAAGGAAATACTGCTCGTATTTTCGGAGACGAAGGAACGTGGCTTCGTTCCGACCCGAGGTTGCAAAATTGACTGAACAGTGTCCAAACTTCAGCTGATTTTTGCTTGATCAGGAAAAAAAATCGGTGATATTTTCAGTAAGAAATGCTGATTAGTTAATGAGTGGAAATTTTGCAACGCTGAAATATATTTACATACTTTCGGCTGGGAAACGACGAGATGAAACATTTCGTCGCTCTTCTAACGTAAAGGCGTATCCCTTTTCTCGCATGAGCTCCAGAAAGCGTGGATTTATATAAGTTAAACAGGGCTCACGTAAAAATTGAGATACGCCATTACGTTAGAGGGTCGACGATTTATCGATTTTTTTGAGAAATACTACTCTCAGTTTGACTAACAGACTTGAAATTGAAAAAATAAAAATTATAAAACTGTGAAAAGCGCTAGGAATTTAAATGAATCAAATTATTTTGTGAATATTCAAAAATAGAATTTGAAACATTTCCCATTCTAAAATAAAACCGAGCATTAACGGTGTAATTAATCAGTGAATAAAAAGATTAAACCTTGAAAAATTATCATAATACGATTTATATATGAGTAAAATTAAGTAATGGAAGACTAATTAAAAAGACTATTTCATAAGTAAAGCACTGAATGAAAAGACTGACGAAAATAAAAAACGTTGATCGAGCATTCCTTTTTTATTTCGAATATTGGGCAAGAAAATATAAATCAAATTTTGTGGCACATATTAATACACGACGTACCACGGGGTGCTGAGATTATTAAAACTTTTTTTGACAAAATTTCTTATACAAAATCCAGAAATTATCAATGAATCAATCTACAAAGAAATTTACAAGAATCGTATCGTTTCCGGAGGCACTGCAGATTCACATTACGCAAAAGAAGCCTGCTGCAATGTAACATCAGAGACCTTATCGATCCTATTAAAGCAAACTTTTTCCGCGGAAATGCATCCAATTAAGCTATACAAGTAATCCCTGGCATCATTGCATTTCAGTGCAATCTTACCTGCCTGTGCTAAGGAAGAACGTCGTTTGAACTTTCAGATGTTACCAAAGTTCTGCTGGTAAAAAAACGAATTTCCTCGAGAGTTCATGGACATTTTTCTTTAATGAACATCATAATAAATTTTACTCGTAATTCAATAAAAAAAGTCTGCCAATTAAAGCGCAATATAGTCATTATTTGTATCGAGAACGATTATTTTGTCAAGAGAAATTTGACAGCGTCCAACTGCTATATTACGTTCTTCCTCAACACGAAAATTATCTTGTCCCATCGACAAAGACGGAATTTCAATAATCAGCCTGCTGGATTTAGCACAAAAACCCCTGAGCAAGACACGGTCTTGAATAGCAATTCGTTGCCCCCCGACTTAAGGACGAAACTGCCCGGTAGGTTGAACCCTATAGTCTATGTAACTCCACGCTCTTCCAGGCTCAAGTGGAAATGGACGTCCGCCCTTACGCCAGAGGAACGGGGAATTGTCCTTAAGCGCAACACGCGTGGAGGGGTCGACCGACCTCTCCCGCTAATTGGACCGATAGCCGTGCCAAACCTCTTATCCTCGGAAGGTTTACGGTGGCTCATACGCGGTTCTTCCAGTCGTCGTTTTGTCGTTTGGGGGCCGAGCTTTACCTAATAACTAAGCAGCCGATAAACGACAGAAGCAAATTAAGATTCATTGCCAGGGTGTTAAACACTATGCGAAGATCCTTCCAATCAATTGGTCGCTGTCGCCCTCGCCCCGAAGTATGATTGTCGGATCGCGACGGAAATTAGCGCTTTCTCCGTAAGGCTTTACGTAATTTACGCGATGTGCGGCAATCTCGCTAGCCGCTCTTGCTAGGTATTGGTAATTTGTTTACGAGGACGTGCATATATTGATGGAAATTTGGCAGCCCCGCGGAATGGGATTTCTGTGTCAGTGTGGCTCGCATTCCACAAATTGACCCCGGACCCAGAATCTTCCCAGCGTTGACAAACAAAACTTCTAAACTAAAATGACTATACACACAGTAATAAATTATCCTCCACTGAGAGATAGAATATATTGAATCAAGTAGTTCCGCTAACTAAGTCATCGAGGTTCAGTATTCAAATGGGCCTGTCGCTATAGGGCTATAGGAAAAAGGAAGAGTTGTTGCTTGTATAAAAAAGTTCAAAAATCACGACGAACGCATCGTAAAAGTCTGCAATACACCCCTAACTTCACAATCTGCGAAATATATATGCGCTAAAATGTTTCTTGACGTGACTTATTCGGTTTCCTTTCATTCGCCTTCGATTGCGTCTGCAGCAATTTTTGTTACGAATATGTTGTGCGTGCTGATTTCAACGTATTACATACTTGACTCTCTGAAGGCGTTTCATGTGCGCAAGTGGTGCACTCTTCTGGAGAACGATCGAAGTAGGGATAGAACAATTCAGTCAATCTCTACTATTGTTGGTCTCCAAGAGGATGCGCTACTTGCGCACGTAAAACGCCTTCAGAGAGTTATGTATGTAATGAGCTGAAATCAGCATGCACAACAGATTTGAAACATCAATTGCCGCAGACGTGGCTAAAGGCGAATTGAGTATGCACATGAGACGCCTACAGAGAGTCATGTATGTAATGGGCTGAAATTAGCACGCGCAATATACAATTTATAACAACAATCGCTGCAGACGCAGCTGAATACGACACCGGAATGGAAATAGGCGTGGTTTTACACTTGAACCATCGATATTTCAACCAAGCACCTCCTTATCAGCAAAACAGCATCGACAGACATTGACAAGTCCGTGCTGTTTCGCTCGTGCGGCGATGGAGATGTTGCATGTGTGAGGAATTTGCGATTTGACTATCGATCCATGTGTAAAAGTTCGCGAAAAACACGATGGAGCCACTGGTTTTCGCTGAAATCAACTCCCAAGCTCAAAAAAAGCTCTCAAGTTGAGGCCAAAATGGAGGAGATATCCCACGCTATCCTGAGAGTCCACCTCTACATCAAGACAGACTCTTCATAATGCAAAGATAGGAAGCAAATACATTGACAGGGCAGCCACATTATTTGGGGACTCCCCCAACTGAAAACTGAGAACACGGCAACCCTGCTAATGGATTTGCTCCCTATCTTTGCATGGAGAGTTTGTCTTGATGTAGAGGTGGACTCTCAGGATAGCGTGGTATATCTCCTCCACATTGGCCACAACTTGGGAGCTTTTTCTGAGCTTGGGAGTTGATTTCAGAGAAAACCAGTAGGACCATCGTGTTTTTCGCGAACTTTTGCATAAGAATTATCAGTCAAATCGCAAATTTCTCACACATCGACGGTGAAACTACCAAACCACGTATCTCGTTTGCGGTGTTTAAAAATCTACGCTCGCATTTTATTTTTTTGAAGTCGACCAAATCAATATCATTCCTTGAAATTTTCACAGAATTTTCTCCGCAC